AACAAATCATACTCTTAGAGTAATAAATAGCAGGAAAACAACAGTTAGGCTTGAAAAAGAATTTTCGATCTTATAATTGAGCCTACTTTCCTTGTTTTTGTTGATATTTTTGAACGTACAAAAGTTCATCATTCATCCACGAACTCGTCCTGAATATGCACACACAGTGGCTTCCAATTACTGATTGATCAATAAAAAGTGGAGTTGATAAGGTTTAATTGTGCAAATTAGCCTTTGAAGACACTCTGCTTGATATTGGTGGACTCCAAACACGACACCAGTATGCCATACGATATAATATTATGTTTGTTAAACGTTTGTTTCTCTGTGTGCACTTAGAAGATCCTCGAAATCTCGGTTTGATAACAATCACTTTTATCTCGCCACGCCATTGTTCAATGCATTGCATTTTACTTATTGATGGCACCTGGAATCTTTGTTAAGTTTGGTACTCTTACCTGAGATTACGTCATCTTTTCAAACAGAACAGAAAGACCACGAAGCTGTTTTCAGTGACTCCTAATCATGCAAATACGTCATGCATGCCAATATTGATCGAACTCATTCGACATCACCCATAATACCTTATTTGAATACCGATAGCCGTGGGTGATGAATTTATCTCACACTGTAATATTCTTAATTCGCTTATATCACAGTTTGAATTAGCGCGAAGTTGAGTGCCATCACGCCTGAACCGGATGAAACTTCCTGGGGTTTTGGTATGAACGTGAAACAGAGAGACAACGCATTAGATAATAGAAGCATAAATTATGTCCGTGACTTATGCAAGTGCTTCGGTGAAAACATAGACACATTTTACCGCATAATCGAGAGAATGTCTTCAGCGTAACAGCAATGCGAAGGAAGAAAATCAACCACATCTAAGTGTGACAGTAGGTGATGGATACGCGGCAAGCGAAGTACGATTTGTCTCGGGTTTACTAACTATATGCTATCATAGTTGACGAAGCAAAATAAAAGAATGATCCTGTAATTGTATTTACTGTGGTAATACTTTAGCTGGTTCCACAAATTTGAAATGTGTGTACAGTACTGGCCGATTTTGATGCACTAAAATATTTTCTTTCTGATCAAATTGATTTTCATTACATTGATCACCTGTAGTATTGCTACAGCGATAGATAATAATTTATCCCTTGTCTGCTTCGATCTACCTAGTCTCTAGGCTGCATGACTGACAATTAAACGTGCTTGACTTTGGTTGCTAACATTAAATAGTCTCAACATAAAAATCGCGANTTAGATAATAGAAGCATAAATTATGTCCGTGACTTATGCAAGTGCTTCGGTGAAAACATAGACACATTTTACCGCATAATCGAGAGAATGTCTTCAGCGTAACAGCAATGCGAAGGAAGAAAATCAACCACATCTAAGTGTGACAGTAATTGCATGAGATGACAGCTTAGAAACGCTGTAATGAACCGATATCAAGGAGAGTTCGGACGAAGTAACCGCAAATTGTGTATGCAATTGTTGAGAAAAGCATGGTTATATTCAAATTGCAGCTTATTTAACGCCAAACACGTAATATTTTGCCAACAAATTAAAATCGTGTTGACCATCCAGATGGTGTTTGAATTGTTTCAATGACAAATGTCTCGTTGTTGATCAGCAAGGTCATTTTCCACCTATGTCTTCAAATAAATTACATCCATCGGTTAAAATAGTAAATATCTGCCACGGCTGATGGTTTAGGTTGCACTTAAATATATTGGCAACTTGGAAACTTGAATCGTGCGAAATTCGTTGCACTGATCGAGCAGATTTTCGGTGACTACCGTGCACACAACGCGTTTCTAAGATAACGCCCCTGTCATGTATAGCGTGAGATTTGTCATAGGAATCACTTAGACTTTAATAAACTCCATGCTGTCACATTTATACGGTGTCTGGCACGGTAAGTTCGAAAATCCAGTTCATTCTGTTGCCGCCTAACAACCCAGATATGAATGTAATTGAAAATTATTTCTCTGTATTGAACTCAGAAATAATTTAGTCACCTCTAAAGTGACCGTTAGAGTTCAAGAAATGATAAATACAAGGGGAAACTTACAAATACGATTTGGTTGGCAATGTGGTGGACCTTGTGTTTAACATTTGACCCAAGTGCTCCAAGTTGAAGTGGAATAAACACAGTATATAAAGTGAAATTACAATTTCTGTCATGATTGTCAGTCATTTTCATAAATAAATTCTTACGACTTTTTGCTACTCAGTTTCACTTATCTTACGGTCGTTGTCGAACTCGAGAAATCGCATGGTTATGAGGCGTTTGAATCCAAGTAGCATACGCATAAACAGAAACTATTACAAATATGTTGTGTACGAGGCTCAAAATGTTGAACAGTGAAATGAGATTTGGCGAAGTCATGGCGTCGCCTAATTTTGATCAATATCTGTATTTAGAAAACATAGATAGGAAGAATAATTCTTTGGGGAAGGAAAATTACACATTGTAAATGACCGAGTTTGGTTTGTCTTGAGAACGAATGTGATTTTTTTAATTGATATGATCACTCAGAATATTTGGTGTGGGGTGTGGGGTTCACAGAAATAAGTCACTTCTAGTAATTTGTGATGTGAATCTTTACTTCACCAAAAAAACAATTCCCTCGTTCTTTAGTTATTTGTATATTGTATTGTGCTGGTATCATTACGAATCATTAGAAGCGAGCTTATTTGCCGTTCTGCATTTCACTTCAAAGGCACTTTGTGGAACTCTTCAGACAATTACACAAAGCTAAACATAACGCCATGTTTTCTTCTAACAACACAATCGTAGTTTGTGGTTTCGTATATAATGGCAGCAAAGACTGCTGCATTTTTATACATACATACATACATACATACATACATACATACATACATACATACATACATACATACATAAATACCTACACACATACATACATACATACACATTTTCTTTGACGCTCGCATATAGCGGCCTTGCATTCCGTATAACAAAGATAGTGAAACAACGCAAAATCTTGTTCGACATTTTCGACCGGAAAATCCTACAACGTAGTAATTATAACTCTAGTCAAAGTGCGTCTATCAGATGGTAAAATTTTGGCAATTTCATTGAGTTTTCCCTGGTGTGTGTGCAGCTTCCCTTTCTCACCTCAATCCAGCCTGTCTGTCTGAATGTTTCTCTCCGTACTGTTTGATTCGCTGTTGCAGGGCGATACTTGTGTTCCACATCAATCAACACAATGAACAGTATTACTGCAGATAGCATTATTGTTAACCATGGCGGGCCGTTCCCTTCGAATCTCAAAAGAGAAATAGAGCATGCAAGGGTGTCTAGAATGACTATCCGGACTCAACGTGGTAAACAAGCTCGGATCAGGTGTGAAGCGTTTTATCTTGGAATCTTGAATATCTCTCAGGATTTGGTGAAGGAAATTGAAATTCCAATTTCACATCTGTAACAACGTTTGGCTCAGTAGAAACAGAATACATAAGTCCGCTCAATTCCAGCATTCTCATGGCCAAGTAGATATGGCCGGTACGATTGCGTTCGGCAACATGAAATTTGAAACAATAAATGAATGAAATATATATATATAATAATATATATGAAATATATGAATGAAACATCCGGTTGTAACAGCCTTTGAGCCCGGGTTCCTAAGGAATGCACATACCTGTGGAATGCTGAACATCCAGTGAAATCGGAGGCACTTCAAATCACACATACGAATGACGAGGGTTTGGAGACACTAAAATAGTCTACACATACTATCTCATAAAATAGTTCTCATTTCCCTGACCTGCTCTGCACTCATTGACCACTTGATCAGCCACCTGACCACGCATTCTAACAGTTCTTCCCATCCGTATCTGTCTAATGCCGCCCATATTTTGTTAACCAAACATACTATGTAGGGCAATGCGAACGTATCTTACTTCATCTCACCATTCGGACTTTTTCTTTTTCATTTTTACTTCCTTTTATTGAATATACAAAGATTCCATTTTCAACAAGGAAGAACAGGTGAATCAGAGGACCACCATTCAGCACACAAGGGGGAAAGTTAGGCGGTGGCGGTGGGATTCGAACACATCCCCGGGGTGGTAATTTGGTGACGTTACCACCGGGCCACCACCGGCCTGTTCTCATCTTATTCCAAATCAGGTTAAGCGAGGAAAATGGGAATTATTTTTCAATATTTCGGTTGTATACATGATCATTTTTCAACGTATTATTTGACGACTTTGCATATTGTCTTTACTATTTGCACATTAATAGGTAAGCCAAGCGTATAAAACACCGAAATTCATGTCTCAGTGAAACAGCACAGAAAATACTTCAATCCGGGGAAGCGGTTGGATTCCTAGGCAAAGTCGATTTTGCGATCGTTTGTACACACACCTACACACACAGACGCGAGCGCACACACACAATTCCTACCGTTTTCTTGTCATCCCAAATTCCAAATATCGATCATCGTACTCTCCTGAAAAATCACCGATGCAACATAAGCCGGGGAATGCAGGAGAACAGAAATTCACACAAAATTTTCCTACTTGTTCCAAGTTGATGAATCGCTTTTTTGAGCTGTCAAAAACTGCAAAGAAATTTTGAAGTTGTTCAGAACATGCATAATTTAGTGGTTATTGAATTTTGACACTCGCAATTTGCTCCAGTCCGCGTAACAGATGTGACTGGGAAAAACAGCCTGGTTATTGTAGTTTTGTTAGTCAAACGATGACTATTTATTTTGATAAATAAGCGAGTTTCGCCTTTCCAGTGTAAACTGAAAGAGTTCAGTTCTGTTCATACTGGATAAAAGAGGAACAAACGGAAAAAAATGTAGTTCATGTTCAATCTACCGGTCCTTCCTAATTTTCCCAAGTAAAGCGTTACTACTCATCACTTATTAGTCTCTAAATAGAACCTGGAAAACAAAACAAAGCTTATTAGC